TCCAGAGGCTGGCTGGTGTATGAATATTTGGGCTGGCACTAGATCCCGTTACTTCTGGGTGTGTGCAGTAATTTTTGTTTTGTTTCGCTTTAGCTGTTCCTCCCTTAAGTGAGGACAGAGAATTTCCAAACTCAAAAACACACCAGTTTTGCATGCATAATATCCTACCAGCTTTGCCCAGACATATCCAGTCTTGTTTTGTTCCAGAAAAGCCCACTGGCTAACACTTTCCAGGGAATAGTCAAGTAACTTGTGAGGGCCATCCTCTCAGCACTCAGATCCTAGGGGAGACAGAGGACAGTAGAGCCACTGGAGTGAAGTGATCTCTTACGGCATGCCCCCAGGTGTGCCCTAAGGAATAGTAATGTGTGTTATTGATAGCTTTTCAAACAAAACGAAACAAAATAAATAGGTCTCTGAGCTGCAGGAATCCTTAAAGCTTTCAATCTACTGTGGTAGAGATCATTAGTTGCCCTCCAATACCCATGCTTCCTCTTTTTTTAATAACTCTCAAATTTTGGCTGAACACATGTCTACCTAGCTAAAGACGTTTTCACAGACTCCCTTGCAGCTGGAAAAGACCATCTGACCGATATTTGGACAAGAGAATACAAGTATAAGTGATGTCTTTCTACTTATGTCTTTAAAATAAATAAGCCTGGGGAACCAGCAGTTAGCATAATGGCTATGTTGCTGGACTCCCACGTAGTTAACCGCGGTTCGCGTCCCGAACCCGGTGGCTTAAAACTCACACCGGGCGCATGTGCGTGCGTGCCCAAGATCCTGAGAGGAGAATGGAGGAGAAGGGATTGCGGCGTGACTATCCCCCCTGGGAGGTGAATTCTCGCTTTCTGTCTCTCTGTCTCTCTCCGTCTGTCTGGCGAGCGCACGCGCCCTACAGTGAAACCTCTCCAAAAAAAAAATAATAATAAGCCTGTGCTTGACTTGTCTTTTCTTCTTTGTACTGACTGGGATGTAAATGTGATGATAAGAGCAGAAATAATCACTTTGGACCAGAGAGGCACTCTCTCGGCCCTGAATTATATCTCTGAACCGTTACTGAGAAAAAAGCTTTATCTCATTTGAGCAACTATATTTTGTGTCTCTAATCCAGCAAATTAGACTGACTTCTAAGTAATTTATGCATTAATGTATATAATAAATTGCTAAGTGGGGTATAGCATGCTGTATTTTTCAAATATACTGACCTTAATACTGGAGCCTATTTTTCTTTTTTCTTTCTTTCTTTTTTTAAAGGTTTTTGCTTTAGGGCATGTGCACTCACCAGAGACAGAAAGACAGAGACAGTGAGAGGGGAATGGACCACGCTGCAACCCCTTCTCCTCCATTCTCCTCCCAGGATCTTGGGCTCACACATACAGGTGCCCAGTGTGATTTTCAAGCCACTAGGTTCAAGACTTGAACCACAGTTGGCCACATGGGAGTTCAGTGATATAACCACTACACCATCTGCTGGTCCCCAGGAGCTTATTTTTCAAAACAAGGCAGGACTGTATTCCTTGAAATGCATTTTGAGAAATTCCAAAAACACCCTTTTTTTTAACATTCCCAAGCCCCAACTGTGACTCAGACCCCAGTCCACTTGTCCCCTAAGTCATTATCCAATAGAAGTAATAGAAAAATCAAGTTTAGAAAACAAGTCAAGGAATCATTTGATTAAAAAAGAAATATACCCACAATTAAAACCTTACTTATGGTTTAAGACCAAAAGCTTTTTCTTTAGGGAAAGGAATGAAGTAAGAATGTGTTCTTTTCAACATTATACTGGGAGTTCTAATAGGGTCAATGAGGCAAGAGAAAGAAAGAAAAGGTATTCGGATTGTAAAAGAAGTAAAACTGTTTCTACTTTCAAATAATCTGATGTTGCATATAGAATTTACATCCCCCACAAAAAAAATATCTATTAGAACTAATAAACAAGTACAACAAGGTTACAGAGTACAAGATCACTATACAAAAATCAATGGTATTTCTATACAATATCAATGAAAATAGTTAAAGTAAAATTAAGAAAACAGTTCCATTTATAATAGCTTCTAAAAGAATCAAACACTTGGGAATAAATTTAACAAAAGAGGTATCAGAGTTATACTATGAACACTGTAAAACATAGTTGAAAAAAATTAAAGAAGGCTTAAATAAATGAAAAGATATTGCATGTTCATGAGTTGCAAGAAAGATTAATGTGGGTAAGATGGCAAACTCCTTGAATTGGTCTAAAATTTCAAAGTAATTTCTCTGAAAATTTCACCTGCCTTTATTGCATAAATTGACAAGCTGATAGTAAAATTAATTATGGAGGTGTGAGGAACCCAGAATAGCCAAAATAACCTTGCAAAAGAAGGATAAAGGTAGAAGACGCATACTTTCCGATTTTAAACTTTCTATAAGCTACAGTATCAAAAACATGGGAGCCAGCAGGTGGCATGGCGGTTAAGGTGCTGGACTCCCACATGGGCAACTCACAGTTTGAATCCCAGATCCGGTAGCTTGAGAATCATGCTAGGCCCATGTGCATATCTGCCCAAAATCCCAAGAGGAGAAGGGATTTCAGCATGGCCATTCCTTTGGGGTGAGATGAGTTCTCACTTTCCTACATGCTGTTTCTCTCTGTCTCACTCTGGCAAGCATACATGCCCTATGGCAAAAAACCTTTAAAAAAAATAAAAAGCGTAGTATTAGAATAAGAATAAATATATAGTTTGATCAAATAAAATCAAAGACCTATAAATAATGCCATATATTGGGTCATTGGAAAAGTCATGATGTATTTTCTAGCTTTTTCTAAGCAAAAATGCATCATGACTTATCTGACAACCCGATATTTATGGTCAATTGATTTTCAGCAAGACCACCAACACAATTCAATGGGGGGGAAATAGTCAATTCAACAAATAGTTCTATGAGAACCGGATATTTACATGCAAAAGAATAAAGTTGGACCCCCTACCTCACACCTTATATAAAAACTAACTCAAAGTTCATCCAAGACCTAAATAAAAAAGCTAGAACTATAACACTCTTAAAACATAGGGGTAACTGTCACCTTGGATTAGGCAATGGTTTCTTAGATATGACACAAAAGGTACAAATAACAAAAGAAAAAATAAATTGGATTTTATCAAAATTTAAAATCTTCATGCTTCAGGGACCAGCAGGTAGCATGGTGGTTAAATATATAGAGAGAGATAATAAAAGGTGTTGGCAAGTATGGAACCCTTATCATTGTTGTTGGGAGTGTAAAGTGGTACGGGTGTTTTGGAAAACAGTTTGGCATTTCCTCAAAAAGTCAAATATATGGGGAGGGTCCTCAAAATTTTCATGGAAAATGCATATTAAGAAAACATCATGCATTGGTTTCAAAACTTTACACCAAACTAAACTGATATTTTAATTCCATTTTTCCATGAATTTTTGAAGTCCCTTTGTAGAGTTAACACATGACCCAAGAATTCCATTCTTAGTTATGTACTCAAAAGAAATCAAAACATAGATCCAGATAAAAATTTGTAAATGAATATTTATAATAGCATTATTCATTAGCCAAAAAGTGGAACCAATACCAATGTCCTTAAATAAGTGACAGGTGAACAAAATGTGGTGTATCCACACAGGGGAATATTATTCATCCATAATAAAGAAATGAAGGCTTACGTTACAACATGGATGAAACTTGAAGCTATTATGCTAAGCGGAGGGAGCCAGACCACAAAAGACCACATATAAATGATTTATATATATGAAATGTCCAGAATAGACAAATTCATAGAGAATCAGATAATGGTGATTGTTGCAGTATCTGTGCATATACAAAAAAAATGGAATGGAATATTATGGTATGTGAACTATATCTCAATTTTACAAAAAGAAACTTTTCCAGAGCTTGGAGAAAAGAAAAAAATTCAATTTAGTTTCTCAATGCTCTAAAAATCAGATCAAACATATTGGGTCATCAGAAAAGTCATGATGCATTTTTGCATAGAAAAAAAGACTTCATGATTTTTCCAACAACCTAGTAGTAGTTGGCTTTGGAAATTAACTTTTGCAGACTATATGTAGTTATGTTTTGGATGTAAGTGGTTTAGGAATATAAGAATTGGAATTTTTAAATAATTTGATTCTGATTAAGAAAGTAAGGGCTGGTTATTTTAGAAGAGAATTTAAAGATAGAAAAACATAAATTTAAAAATTATGGGGATCAGTCAGTGACACAGCAGTAACAATTCTCTGTGATGCTGGACCCCAAATGGGAAGGTCCCAGGTTCATAGCTGGAGGTCTCCTTGTATACCCTGAGTGTACGGTATGTGCCCATGATCCTGTCTGGATGAGGCTGGGGGGTTGATCAAGGCATGAAGATCCTGTTAGGGATCTCTCTCATTCTCTCTCTCAGAAGAAATAAATAAGCTCTAATAAAAAGGAATAAAATGATTAATTTCCTGTTTTTCTATCTCTCCCTAGCCCCCACTAAGGCAAGGCAGAGAAAGTGGAGTGTGGTCATTGACTTGTATATGCAAAGCTGACCAATAGAAAGCCTTGCATCTGGACCTTCTAGGTCACTGAAGTCACCTGGGCATTAGGATCAAGGTCAGCACCATCAAATCTTCCACAGCCCTGGAGCATCTAAAAGCACCATCACTCAGAGAGAGAAAGTTTGAATCCAATTAGTGTTTCCCTTCATTCAAATGAAGAAACCATGGCACTTGTAAAGCTGCCAAGGTATGAGGAGGGCAGAGACAGAAGAGAAACTAACTTCCACCAAAACCACAACCCTCCAGTTAGAATTTCCCAATACGCCGTCAGAGGGTGTTGACCTCTGGCACAATGAATGAGCTCTCTTACATCTACCATCCTCCGGCCAAGGGCCAGCAGGCAATATCCAGCTCCTTAGAAGCTCAGAGGCATGTGATTCTCACTAGAGTGTTCTTTGAATGGGATTATCTTGAAAGAAATAAAGAAAATAAAAAGGAAGCTCACAAAATACAGATTCCAGTTCAAATTTTATTTGTATACAAAAATATATTATAATGGGAAAAGCATATTACTATTTCCAACTATATATAATTAATTACAAATATTTTCATAAAAGCACTTTAAATTACAGGAAAGCTATGTTTTAAGAGAAGATACAACATTAGCATGGATCTTCTGTTCTAATTCGCTGCAAGCAGGTCAACAAAGTCAGTTTCACTGTCTACACAGCACGGAGATGGGCTCAATGGCTGACGTGAAGGCGAGCCCCATGGTGGTGATCATACTCATCTCTGTCCCCTCTGGCAGCAGATTCTAGTAGCTGATTTTTACCGGGTCCTCTGAACTTACTGAAGGTTCTTCCTGATGAAAGGACCCCAAACGCCTCCTTGTTTCACATACCTGTAAACAGGACATAGTTAAGTTTACCCACTCACAGAAGTTCTTGATTCCTATGCTTATTAACCACATCACACCCCCTCTGACGCGCATCAAAGTGCCATACTTAATGGCAGGCTTCCCACACAATATGACGAACCAGCAGCTGCCATTTCCATGAGGTGGACAGGCTTGTTACATGGGCCGGATACAAATTGTGCTGCAATTATAATAATCTCTGTTAAAAACAGGCCTTGGTCTCTAGATGTAGGATGATACAGCTAGTAAGAGAAGGAATTACACAATTTTCAAGTAAATAGAGATGATCCAAAGACTTCCTGTCTGGTATTTAGGTCTGTCTCAGAGTGCTAAGAATATAGAGCTATTTTTAAATAATCAGCTCTAGATCATATTTTTCAGATTTTACTCGGCTGTTTAGCAGAGTGTAACATAAAACACTGCTCCCAGAGAAAATGAACCTTTTCACTGAAAAATTAAGAGGATGCCCCAAAATTCTCCTGTTTCACTCTGACTAAACAAGATCCCCCATGAGTGAAGTTGCTGCAACTTCTATCCTGGAAACTAGAGTTAGTCATCCCAGATCCTACAATCCTGTCCTTTTAAACTAGAGTGTATAGATAAATTGTGAGGGTCCCTCTAGAGCCCCTATTGCAGTAATGATCTGATATTTTCACACAAAATGGGTTGCCATTAGTGTAGTACCAAATGGGAAGAAGAGGATTATACACTTAACCCATCTCCTCCATAATTGAGGTGGGCCTTGGGATACCAGATGTCTCAATGCCAATTCTCTCTTAAAAGTCAGAACTCAGGGCTGGCAGTTGGCATGGTGGTTAAAGGCACTGGATTCCCACATGGCTGACCACGGTTCGAGTCCCAGACCTGGTGGCTT